TTGATCGCTATGCCCACACCGTGTACGCCCCACTTGTCCTTGGTGCCAGCACGGGCGCCACTCCAGATGATCACGTACCCGTCGTGTGCAATTGAACCTAGCCCCTCTTGTCGGGTCTCCTGAAGTCCTATCACATCACAGCCGGTCGCCGAACAAATCTGCATGACCGTCATCACGTTGTGACCGATGGGGTTCCTACCGCTGTAGGAGAGCGTGCATACGTTGAACGTGCCGAACGATAGGTCGCCCTCTCGTGCCTTCTTTTTCGCAGCCGCCTTGACGGCCGCTGCGGTCTCCTGTCTCTCTCGGTCCACCTCGCGTGGCGGGTGTGCTTTCTTCCGTATTTTCCGAGCGTGGAAAGAGCAGAGCGCATATATGCATTTTTTTCGCGCGCCTTGGTCGTTTTCATTCGCTGTCGGCGCCCGTGGCGCCGACACAGTGACGCCAGGGTGCGTTCGAGGTCCTTGCGAGTGTGCCACGTGCAGATTTCTGAGTGTTTTGGACGATTAGGTTGACTGACCTTCGGTGATCGCGCCGCACCCAGGCAAGAACTGTTACGCCGCCCGAAGATTTGTCGGAAGGCTCGTTTCGGCAGATCTTGGGTCAAGATTTGTTCGAAAGGGAAGATTCCGGGCTTCGAGAAATCTTGGCCAAGATACATCGGAAGATTTCGCTCCCATCAATCGTGACAGATCTTGGCCAAGATAAGATTTATCGACAAGATTTCGTTCCCAGTAATAGGTGTCTTATGAGCGCTCCATCAAACTTTCCTTGGTGACAACCCATGCTTTGTTATCCCCCCTGTTCGTGGAACAGAAAATGAATATGCCAAAGAGACCGATTGGAGCAGCAGTCAGTTGCAGACTACATCAAGCAGCTGTACTGTAGCACACTGAGGCCCGGTGACACCGGCCGGCAACATAAAGCTTGTGTCCAGCTTACAAACGAATGAGATAGACTATTAGACAATGCCAAAGGCAGTTTGAGACTATCTATGTCAAAGGCAGCTGAATTGAACCTATGCATATAGACAGTGTACGTGTTCCATTGTTCTTCGCACCCACAGTACGGACATTAGAAGGTACTGAGTGGGGACCGGAACCGTTAATGTGAAGACAACAACAACAACAACAACAACAACAACAACAACAACAACAACAACAACACGTAGGGTCTAAACAGAGGAAGTTCCTCGAGAACTCTAGATTCCACGGTAGTCTCGAAACGCACACGCGTGCCGGGAGTCACCGTTGGTGACTACGGACTGTGACGACATGTTTCGCAGCAGTGTCCAGGGACCTCTCCTACAGGGAGTTAGCGCTCTGGGAATTGCTGCACTGTCCCTGGTCCTTTTCACCGCCGCCCTTACCTTCATCAAACGTGTGTGTGACGATCAAATAACGCACCGCCGGCCATCCAAAAGGATGAACGGCGAGGCCATTGCCTGGATTGGATCAACAGCACGACAGCCGTGAGACCCACTCTTACGCCTTCTCTACCCCGCCCCCGCCCCCCGCCGACGTAAGAACAAGCCCGGCTCGTGTGATGCATATGAAACGCGGCTGTGTAACTGCTGCAGCTGTGTAACCAGGTGTAACGTGCGAAACGAGTGAACGCGCGAACGCGTGAACAACTGTGAACACGTGCGCACTTAACCCGATGCGGCACTTGAACCCCAAAAATGCGGCACTTGTTTCTGTTCGGGTCAACTGCGGACTGAGAACCAACGAGAGACGGAAAACACGCCGATGCTGTCCCCCATGTCTGTTCTCTCATTCTGTTCCCATCTCGATCAGCGGCCCCACTGGTCCTTCATTACACGGAGATATCTGGTGCCAACACCAAGACAAAGCTGCCGGCCAGCACCCTGTAGGCTGTGATGGACGGTCCGGAACAGCGCATTGCATAACGATTTACTACAATCGTGACGTACGTGAGCGACCTTTGTACGTTGATTGCATGACGCGTGACCTTTGCTCCCTAGGACCACACAGCGGAACTACGCAACGACACGTGACGACCCAGTCAGGTTGGTGGTAACAGCCACAGGTCTACGTAATCGATAGGCAACTGTTCACCGTACCTGAGGTGCGTGTGTTCGGCGTACAATTATCGAACGAGGCTTGAAGGTGGACCGCAAAACGCGCGAGTGCGGCATTTCGTTTTGACATACTCCGGAGTAGACAAAAACTGGGCACGCATCGGCAGTAATGTGGGATGAGAATCGAGGACAAGCTACGAACATGCGTGCCTATCCTCTTTTGGGCTTGACACACTCCCGCAGGTTTGCTTAGAAGCGGCCATGGCCGTGTTAAGCATGTGGAAAGGAACCACTCAGTTTGTGCTGACTCTGCTGTCCCCCGCCGCGTAGACTCCGTGGAGCAACTGCGCTACAGCGGGCAGTTTTAGCCCGTTGGCACATTTGCATGACCAAACTGCAAGTATTCGCCCTGGGTTGTATCTACGAAAATGATGGCATCAGGCCGCAGGTTCAAATGTACGCTGGGTGTTAATCAGCACTCTGTACATACAGCAGCCCCTTTTTCTGCAGGTACTACATATCTGTGTCGGATACTACATAGGAAATGCGTTGGATTGCGGGTACCTCTGAACGTGCATCAGGAGGTTGATTCTTGGCTGTGTTGTATGTTACAATGATTTAGAGAGACAGACCAAATCGTTGTACCTTCTGGAGAGTGCCAAGTTCCAAGCGCTCGAAGGTTTGGCTAAGGCCTCTTGCCCGCGTTTGCATTCCCTCAGGTACATGGGCGCCGCACCAATCTAAACACACCACACCCCACAGTTGTGCTTATACTGGCTCACTGCTACACTTCAGTATCCTGTACCGCGAGTTCGAGGTCACACAACTACGGTGACATGG